GAACGTCAGACATCCATAATGAATAACATCCACAGTGAATTATTTACACAGTCATCCTTCGTGGCACAACTCACTGACTGACACTGAGTCACCCAGTGTGTCTGATGTTGCGTGTGCGTGTATGTGTGTGCATGCGAGTGTGTGTGTGTGTGTGTGTGTGTGTGTGTGTGTGTGTGAATGTCATACCAACATTTGGCCCCGTAGCGGGCTCCCAACTATGATGTAGTCGTGGCATCCTGTGTGAAGAAGAACAGCATCGAGGCTAATTACAGCGGCTAGCGTGTACTACTGCTCCCCCATCAGCACAAAGCAGGGACATATACATACTGGGAAAATGTCTTATTAGGACAAAACAGAACAACTGGTACTTCTGGAAATATTGTAATTTGAATGTCAATCATACACGAAACCTAACGATATCCACATCTGCAGAGACGAGGTTCATGTTACAACACAGGCTAGAAGCTGATGTTATAGAAATGCTGGCAGCACAGTGAATACAATCTTGGCTGCAGACAACAATATTGGCCAATTGTGTAAACATTGCCCCGGCAGACTGAGTCAATAAATTCATGTGTCACAGTTTCCTGCCTTCAGTTTTTAAAAAAAATTCAGAGGCCATGGCATTAAAGGGACTTCTCCTCTGGATTTGCTCTCTGGCAGGTAATCTCTCAGTTATATATGTTTTGTCTGAAATGGAGAATATAATGAGACAGAAACTTCATGTGGCTAAAAGAAATCATGGAGAGATGAAAGTTATTATATTAGATACAGTATGAGTGTGTATGTGTCTGCTTGCAGTCTTGTCGTCCTCTGCCGCTGCAGATGAAACTGTGCCTAGGAATTGCAGCTCACAAACTCAGCTCATGGAGCGTCTATCAGCTGATCTCAAGGTAAACTATAAATGTTCATCATACCAGAACAGCTGCTGTATCGTGCACATACAAGTATATGCAGCTCACATTGTGTTCACTGGAAGAAGAAAAACAACCCAGTCATCAAACCTGTTGACTGTTGCTTGTCACTTGATTTCCACATCACATCAGCAGTTAGGAACAAAACAAGTGCTCTGTCTGTTACGAACCAACAGGTGGCAGTAGAGTGTGGTGATAACCTGACTAACCTGACTTCTGCATGGAGTGCACAGCAGACAGCTGCAGTGCTGCTGTCCATGAGGAATCTGGCTGATTCTCTGCACAAACACCAGCTGAAAGGTAGGAGGACGAGCCGCGGACACGTGCGCCCGTGCGTGTGTGTGTTCTTCTTACACGCAACAGTCGAACTGTGTGTCTTTGTGAGAACCGGCTCAGTCTTAGACCTGGAGTGCGAGGACGTTTTGTCCGGGGCCTCGCTTCTTCAAAGGGCCTGTTTGAGGCTTTACACCTGGTTTTAGGATTCATGTTCTGAACTTAAAGCGCACTACAGTGACTACGATGGATCGTTTTCACAGAGTCAGAGTCCTCATGAGCAGTGGGGTACACCACATTTATCACATTTGTCAAGGGATTTTGAGACACTGAATTAACTGAACTCTGCTGGGAAATAGGAGGATTACTACCTATTGAAGATGCTGACATCAAAGATTAAGATAAAAATGTTGGTGGTATCATTTCTACTGATGGACTTTTTTAATGTATTAATTGGTGGAGTGGCTTTTTGTGCAAGCCTGAATTTTGCTGAATAAAGAACAAGTTCCCTGTGCAAGTGATTCCAGATATCGTCAACGTCCCTCTGGTATGTCTCAGGGACAGGAGTGTGGAGGGTTTAGGCAGAAAGGATATAGAAAAGGGCTGCAGATGGCAATAGACACAAGACATCTAACAGGTGGAAGCATCATTTATTAAACATTCACTGTTTTATAGGATGCCAAAGCGCTGAGCCGAAGCAATGCCCCGAAGCCGAAGTGCCCAACAACGGAGGGCTGGCGTGCGTTTCAGTTGGCAACAACACCTACTGCAAACCTCTGTGCAACGATGTAAGTGGTACACACAGTTTTACATATTTATAAATATATTTAAATATATATATAAAAAAAAACACTTTGTAATAACTGGTAGTTCTGTGCAAAAAGGAAAAGAAAAATGATGAGTGACATAATTTGAGTCTTCTTTCACAGGGTTATGATTTTGGTTTCATAAGGAGGAGTCGCTTGTTTGATAAATGCACTGAGCAGACACGATATAAGTGGGACACCCAATACGTAGGAGGAAACAAACTGGCCGTGTGCAACGGTGAGGCTGCACTTTAGTAACTTTCTATGAACCTGCAGTTGCATTTAATAATATATAATTTTCTGATTTCTAAGGTCAAAGCAGTAGCTACTTAACACAGCTAATTTAGATCCAACCCCTCTTCAAATGTTCCCGATTTTGTCAGTGAAGTGTTTTATCGCCTTTCTGTCTCTCAAACTACCTGCATAAGGCAGCTCACGTATTTAAAGAGTGACATTTATGCAGGATGTGAAGTTGCGAAGACGAACCTGACTTGTTTTCCCTCCTTCTCCAGAGGCAACTATTCGAATTTCAGGGGCAAAGTCGGCATATTTTCCAAAACATCAGGATTGCCTGACGACCAAGAGCAACAGCCAACTGCAGCAGAGCATCATCGAAACTTTTACCACTGAACTGAAGAGTAAAGGCATACAGGGGGAGTCGCGGCATGGCTGTCTTGTATGTGGATGAACATGAACATGCGTCAACAAAGTCACGAATGTTGTGAAAGTCCCTCTAAGATGAAATAAAGCTTTAGAATTAGTTGAAAACTGTTAATGTTCCCGAACCTGAATGGTTTCCTTTGTTAGTTCAGTGTCAGTGCATCTGGTTTCACACACCAAGGCTAAAATACATTATACTGTATGTGTTTTTAAAAGGCATTACACTGTCAGGTGCTGTAACAAGCAATGTCTTCCATCGATTGTTGGCTATAAATCCATTCTAGGTCAAAAGGATGGATACACCTGCAAGTGTCTGACTGCCGTCTTCGCTGCTTTACGTCTCACTCCATTTTACCAGCAGTCACTCACTATTTACGTGAGTGACTATTAGTAAAATGATTTTGATGGCTAGATCTGGATTCAAGCAGCAGTTTAAATGAGGTTAACCACTCCGCCAAATGGACTGCTCTGTTCTGCTGTCCGGTCTGCTCTCAGGTTTTTTTCGCTAACACATCCAGACACAGCTCACGGAGGTCAAGGTTAAAAAGTCAAAATGAGAATGCAGTATCTCATTAGATAGCCATTGACATTCCACTCATTCTATTAGGAATCACTCTAATCAGAGAGAAAATGACCCGCACAGTGACCCTCTGGTGTAGGCCGACAGACCGTCTAATCATCAATTACGGAAATAACTCTCTGGACTGAGGGATGAACAGTGATAAACTGTAATGTCACACATCGCCCACAAGGTGGCAACAGACATAATGTTCTGTTTTCATGTGTGCTGAGGCCTTCACTTGTCCATATTCATCTACATCTTTTTAGTATCTGGATCATCCCTCACAATCCTTCACACACACTCCTGTTGGAGCCGTTTCTAATAATTTGACCTTTCGTGCCAGTGAAGGGAAATCTTGATGCTACAGCATAAAACAGCAATATTTTAGTGCCGTTTCCAACTGGAGGCCGTTTCCTGTTTAAACATGATAAAAAAAAGCTTTTTCCCAGTTTGGTGTGGAGGAACTCGACTAGCCTGCGCAGAGACACCAGTTCATTATTACCAAAAACAGGATTTTTAAAGCTGGATAAACAGCAGAACAATATCCGTTGCATAACGTGCAGTTGGCAAGTGCTGAGAAAGGCGGGAAACGCAACAAGCCAAACAATAAGCCTGTTGTGGTAACGTTAGTTCAGACTCCAGCAGCAGCAGCAGCAGCAGCAGCAGTCCCTCTTGTCTGCTTCTTCAGTCATTATATCCGATATGATAAGAGCTCAAGTTAAAAGGCATGCTGAATGTGTTTCCTTCCTCATTACCAGTGTTAAATCTACATATAGTGATATACATCAATCAATATGAAAAAATATTGTGATAATATTTTTAGCCATATTGCTCGTGCAGCCCAGCTTCAACAGTGCAAATTAGTGAACACGTGCTTTTATTTTATTGTTTGTTTTATTTAAATTAAAAGTACAAAATCCAATGTCAGTGCTTGAGTTAAAATTAAACAGAAATTAAAGTGTTATTAGCCTTCAACTATCATGCAATAATAAAAATAATTGTATCTATGTTTACATGCTGTTCAATGATATTTAAGTATGTAACTCAACAACCCCTGTTATTGCAGTGTTAGTCTTCGTACACTAGAGGGCAGTATAAAATCACTTTTTAGAATACTTCCTTTATATTCTACCAGACACACACATACACATTATTCTGTTCACTATGTACATGTGTGTTTAGTTGTTAAAATAAATAAATTGAACAGTGTATTTTGGAGTAGAAAAGAAATGACAAATATTTCATAGAAAAACATTTAGTTTCAGCTCTTATGTCTGAGGTTACTCACAATTGAATCTGCTGTTTTCATGCAACTTCTCAAACTAAAAACTAAAGAAGAAACAATCCTAACATAAAGATGGAACCTACATTTAGATTAATTTTATTACAGCACATTCAGTGTAGAATCTTTCATTTTTGTTCCTTCTTTTCTCTCATTTTTTCTTATTCATTAGCGCGTTTGTTTTTGTTTTTAACAGCCGAGACAATCAGTGAACCAGTGTAACCTTCCTGTATCATCATTGTGCCAAACCTAATGCTGCTCACTCCCTTGGCTGCTGTCCAGCGTCTGCAAATAATAAAAAAAGATAAACTGCATGAAAGCATACAAAGAACCCGCTACAGAAAGAGGCTGATTATGAAAAGGTTTTGAACTTCCTTTTCCCATGGCAACATTTTGAAAATGAATAACGGTGTGCTACACCTTAGCCGTTCTTGAAAGATATTATTTTTCTGTCCTGGTATGACATGCAAATAATCCCGTCTGATTCTGTAAGCATATGAATGACTGTGTGCTATCTGAAATAGTTTTTATTAGCCCGAACAAAAGCCTTGTTCATAACACAAGCAACTTACTGACTGCAGGAGCCGTATTTCTGAGCCGAGCTCCTCCTGCCGAAGCTCAAGCGCTGCCTTTTTATGCATCTCCAGCTCCTTCCTCAATCTGGTAAACAAATGAAACCAATGTCAGTTAACTGAAAATGTGCTGGGAGAAAACTTATGAAATGGACATTTGCAAAGATTAGCTTCAGCATTTTCACTTCTACATATTGAGTTTAAACCTTTTGATGTTTTCTTACCTGAGAAAATGAAGTTTGTTTCTTCTTTTATTGTGTTTGTGTCACTACGTTATCTGTTACTTTGCCATTGTGTTTTTTCCACTGAGAAAATGAACTAAATGAAAGTAAAACCTGTTTTCCACATTGGTATTCATGCTCATAGTGACACAGAAAACACATGCAAAATATAACCCAACGCATAGATAATCAGGTGAAGATAATAGTTGGTGTCTATTTCAATAGAAAGCTTACATGACTGATGTGTTGTAAGTTTCAGTATGTTTTGCACAAAAACACTTTACATTACTGGATGAATAGTCTGGTTCAGGGTAATAGTTCAACTAAAACCTTTAGCATTGTAGCCAAATTTCCACAGCAGGTAAATTTTACATGAATGTTTTGACGGATGAAATATCCAGAATAATTTGTTGTAAGTTTAAAGTTTCCTAGTCGCTAATGGAAATTAGGGACTTCCTGATATTTAGTGAACATTTGACACGTGGCTCCCTTGCGTCGTTATAAATCTCTGTGACCCACCTGCTTCTGCTCCAAACAGCAGAAGACACCAGACTTGAGGCAGCTGCTGATAAAAGTAACAGGACAGATTTAAGAGTAACCCCGCAGTCGTAACGTAACGTGTTTCAACGTCTGGTCCCCATTGTTGTGTGTGTGTGTGTGTGTGGGGTGATGGCGTCCCTAGGGGCTTGCTGCACAGGCATGAAGATATACGGGAGGCCCCGAGGGACAAATTTACTAAGCATAGAATGAACCGACAGCAGTAAATCAAGTTTAGAAATTTCTCTCACATTGCAGTCATCCAACTGGAGCAAATCTCAAAGGCTGGTTGGAAGGTTTAAAGTACAAAGCTGCAGGAAGGACGGATCAAGGGATGACAGAGGGATGCGAGAGTTTGACCTTACACTGGTTACAACTGAAATATTTATTTGCATGAATCTGACTGACTTTTATTTTTATTATCATAAGTCCAGTTTCTGTTTTTATATGACCATGAAAACCTGGTTACCTTCCCCACAGAATACATGTTACTGCTGTGACACTTTGGTGAAGGTTTTGTTCCTAAACAGAAAACAATCAGTCAGTACCTCTGTAACAATCTCTCCTCCAGAAAATAAATAACTTTGATCTGTTTTACATACATTTCATGAGCAAGGAAATTGTAAAAGTACAGTATATGAACCTCATGCAGTGACCACAGAGCAGTCCCTCTGTCATAGACTGAAACAACAGTCTGCTCTCTATTGTAGCAAAGTAAATATTTCACCCTATAATTTCATAAACATACATGAAATTGTATTACTCGGTTCACTTTGCCTCTGGAAAAATCATTGACTTGGGGTCCACGCTACCTGATACCTTGGCTGTGATTTAACTGTTATGGCAGGTGTGTGAGGGAGTCATACCGAGCTACACATGAATCTGAGACGAGCCTCCTACCTCTCTCTTCCTTTTATTGGAAGTTAATGAAACAATAAAACAACCAAACTTTAATTGCATTTTCACAGTCTGCAGAACCAACAGCAGTGTTTTTAAACTTTATACTTCACCGTGGAAACTTAACACAAATCAGATTTTTAAGGTGAGCGTAGTCGCAGAAGAAGAGTGATGCTTCTCGCAGCGAGATGCTCATTTGGCATTTTGGATACTGGTGGTCTCTGCAGGTTTTTATTAGATTCCTGCACTGCAATGACATCTTTAAATGAGCCTTCACAAATAATGTAGCAGTGATACATCAATGAAGAAAACCCGACACATCAAAAAATACAACTCCTAAATCATCAACCCCGAGCACATCGACTGAATACTTTAGGTATCTTTCCACTGTGACAGTGAATGATCCGCACGGGCAGCCGCCCTGTTCTGCACAATGAACACTTTTTAAACGACTGTAGCACTCATTCAAATTGACACGCATTCAATTTCCAACAATCAATAAGCGGAGAGTTAAATATGTGTTTTAAAGAGACGCTGCGGAGGCTGAAGACAGGATTGATGGCTTCAGTTCAGAATGGATGATCATAAGAATGAGTGAGAGGAAAGGGGGAGGGGGGGGCTCACTCTTCCAAAGCCACATCCTCAGCACTTCCTGAGGCTAATAAGCTTGGGGGGTAATGACATACCTAGTATGTTTAACGAGGCTGATGGATGAACAGGACATGCTAGCCACATGCGTGATTTAAGGCAAGGCTGCGAGAACATGAAGTAAAGGACAGAGGATAATAAATAAAGATGAGCAAAACACAGCTGAAAGTGAAAGCAAAGATTTTGTACCTTGTCCTAATAACAGGCATGGTGAAACCGTCTTTAATTAAATGTGATTTTTAGAGAGTTAGAATAAATTAATACATGTTCGTTTTCTGATTTAAAAACTGAAAGTCTAGACATTATCATCTAGATAAGGTTCGGGGGTGGGGGGGTTGTTAATCACTTCACATCCATAGTATTGTAGAAAAGACATTATCCAAAGTGGTGGCATCAGCAATAACAATGGCCCCTTCCTTCCTGGAACACTATTGATCTTCACTCTTTAATTAGATAAAGGAAGTCCCTTTGTGGAGAAACAAGGTGGGCCAGCGCTCACCTAACAGTCATGTTTCAATAGAGGAAGAGCCTCAGTTCATATTCTACAACTAATTCATATTCTACTGAGACGTGCAGACACATGTCCATGTCTTTACAAAAACGTTGCTGTTGTTCCTTATTTGTATCCGTTGTTCTGTTTGGATTCGAGAATCTAAGGAGATAAGGAACGTGTGAGCACACATCCATAAAGGTTAAATACCAAGTGTTTTGTCGTTTTGTTGAGCTACATTTTTATTCTTGGAAATCTGCGCTTTGTACTTACACAGGCATTTATTCTCCCACTCAGTGTCAGAGGTGCAACTTCAAAATATGTAGATTTACCGCTCACAGCGAACTTCTACTAAATTACAGCATCTGGCTTTGTGACAGACTCCATGATTGACACAAGTTTCATAACCTTCTCAGAAGAAAAGACGCTGCAAGCTGCTGGTTTTTTACCGATAGTGATGGGTACTGATCTGAATGAATGAGTAGACAAACATAGCTAATGCAGACGTCTCTATACGGAGCACAGGGGGGTTACTGACTGGTTTGATGAGGATGGAGATGCTGTGAATGATATACTAGAGAAGACAATGCTCCCAACCACCATCATTAACTCTGAATCAACACCAAATGATGCAACTTTCTTTTTGTTGGGGGAAGAATGGTGTCCATCCCTCCAGCAGAGCTTCACAGACTTGGAGAGTAGATGTCAAGAGGCACTGACTCGTGTAGAACCATCAACATGTGGTTCTGTTTATTCCACATCGACTGTCTGCACAGACTTGTTCGCATGTGTAGTCGGCCCGTTTGATCCATCCATGCGGTCATAAATTAAGTGTCACAACCAGAGGAGGGTATGGGGTATTTCCCCAGTTCAAATGGAAAACATGTTTCTAAATAAAAATTTCCCAGTGAGGTGAAACTCACAAGTGTTAACGCCTACATTTCCATAGTGTTCATGTGCCTCAGATGTCTTTAGATACGTCTCTGAAGCTCGGACACAGGTTAGCTAACTACAAAGACTCATTGAAGGAGTTCTATTTGTATCATCAATTTTCTGCTCACTCATTCGTTCGTGACACAAACACACAGTTTACCAGTTTACCGTTCTTAATACAAATACACTGTTGCCCATAAAGTTGGAATAATTTTGTTTTCAGACACAATCCTCTGTTTATTCCTATCTAAATGCATCAGTAATCACTTTTGACCAGGTGCAATGATTACATTATGTGTCTCAATTACTCAGGTGAAATGAAATAAATCACATTGTCACAATCATTTCATGGAAAGAGGTAAAACAATATTTTATTCCAACTTTATGAGCAACAGTGTATTTTGGATGGGAATTCCACCTATTGTATATCTAATTCAATATGTATACTGTATATATGTGCTGTATGTTTATGTAAAAGGTATGGGTGTTCACGTTCCTCTATACGCTTGGTTTACAAACAAAAGTTAGATTTTTTTTCACTTGAAACTTGATGTATGATTCCACTAAAACCAAACGGTATTTATTTGCTGGTAAGTCGCTGGATAAGCAACACTCCGCCCCTCATTCACTTCCCTGCATCAATCACATTTGCCTTTTTTTTTTTTCCCCAACACTTGTTGACTGAATGAAATACTCTGCAGATCAAAGCCTTAATTAAGCCAAATGGTCTTAATGCTCTGTTATTTACACTTCTGGAGCTGGACTCCAGCCACGAGGACAGGGAAAGAGAAACACAGGCGGGAGCTGGGTACTGGTCTATTCAGCACTTCTCACAGCATGATTCAGTTCTACCCTTCGTAAATAACACCTTTTATCTAACAAGCATGCAGAATGCCGGGTTGTATTGTGCTGTTAACACTATTTTTTAAGTGTATTAAGTGCATTTCAAGAATGACTTGTGCTATTAGTGCTACTAAGATGATTTTTTATCAGTTATACTAAAACATAGCGCTGTAGCGAGGAGAGGGTAGTGGTTGTATTTTTTATAAACCAGGACCCGACAGCCTTCACAGTCCACAAAACGTTCAACTAATGCAACATCACAGCTGCTCAGCACGGACTATTTAAAATATCAGGAAGCTCAAAGGAAACCTCTGCGAAATAACATGTTTTATGAGCTGCTAAATGGCTTACTGCTGTGTTTACATTTTGTTTTATTCTATTTTGCTCCTTTGTGTTTTATTTGCTTTTATTTCCCCGCAGCATTTAGTGTTTACTCTTTTGTGTCTCATAAGGATTATATTCTGTGACTAAATGTAATTGCGAGCAAATCTGGTGCTGCAAACTGCGTCTGTGTGTCTAAATATAAAAACCTCCCTTAGCATCCAGACAGCTGATGGTACTCACCTTAGACAGGTGCTGTCAGTGAGAGGTTTCTGACTGACAAAGAGGCTCTCCGCTCTCAGAGACTCTGTCATTGCTTCAGCCACACTCAACTGCCGATCCAGGTCTGTAGTCAAGAGTAATAAATCAAACACAAAATGACTTCTCTCAAACGAGACAGACACGTACTGTAGGTGCATCGTTAAGACATTTGCTGAGGTGGCTGAGACAGTGGGACTAAGTTTAGAGCAGCCACCCACCCCCACCACGACCTTGCAATGCTCTTGCTGTAACACGGTGCTATTTTTGTTACGAACACACCTATACCTGTCTTCTTTCTATTGAGTATGCAGACTGAATGTGTGTGTGTGTGTGTGTGTGTGTATGTGTGAAGTCTCTTTAAAGCAAATTAAAAATCAAATTTCACATCAGTGATGTCCCCTCCAACCTAACCATGAGGCCAGAAACTAACATGGTTTATGACCAACATCTGGGCTCAGTATTAAACTGCTTGGCAGCGTGGTAGAATTATCAGATTCTAACTGGCTTGGCAGCGGTTACATTTATAGCCCTGATTTCCGTCGAAGTCAAAGACATGACTTTAATAACAAGCTGGAAAAGTGATGGTTTGCTATAGACTGTGTGAATGTATTTTAAAAATGGGGTTATAAACTGAAAACTGTGAGAAGTCAAAAAAAAGTTTAGCAGTTCTGCAGCTGCTCTTTCAGAACCAGATTATCTGAGATACAGTGAACATTTGGTATTCACCTCTCCGGCTGTTATCCAGACCCTGTAGTTCAAGGTGGAGCGCTCTCTTCTGCTCCTGCATGGAGCTCATGCGCCTGTTACTGCTGCTCATCAGCTCCATGTCTGCTTGAGGAGGGAGAGAAGAAGGGAGATTCAGATTGAAGTTAAACTGCTCAACCAAAGAAAACTTCTTTTGCAAAGGTGCAAAGTGAGCATTTTTGAACTTCACTTAAACTGTACACACAATCACATAACGGTGCTCCCTTGAGCCCAGATATAATGAGTAATGGGAAGACATTGGTTGCCATTGGCAATAGGAGCTATAGCCTTAATCTTGTGGAACTAATGAAAAGAGTTGAAACCAAATTAAAGTATAATTTATCATTAAATGTTGAATGTTGCTAGACTTCAAAAATATATTATACTGTCTTCTAATAAACCAGTGCCATGAAAATTCTCTACAAGTAATCACTACATGAGACACATGTTCTCAAAACTCCTGACTTTCTGATATCTTACTTTTTTAATTGCTAATTATTTTTACCACACACAGGAGTGGTGGTATGTTCACAACTACTGTGTCATTAGTGCTGCAGAGGCCAGGTGAGTTCGTTTGTGAGCTGTGCAGAATTTAGATATTGTAATAAAATGAGGTATTTTACAGCTCAGGAGCTTTGTGCAGTAACTAAATCCTGTCTTTTAGCCACTGACAGATTTTCACACAGAAGGATTGTGTTTTTTTGAGTATCTTTTTTAAGCGTTTTTCATAATGATAAACTCTTCTCTTTCCAACACCTTCCAGCTTCTTTCAGTCTGTGATCCATGCAACATCCTATTATTAATTAAAAAGTACAGCGTTTCATTTTCACACTCTTCAGTCATGAATCTCATTACTGAGCTCTGATATCAGTTTTTTTTTCATTCTCCACTCACCTTTAATAGATTTAAATAATATTCTTACTGAAATCGTATTGACTACCTCTTCACTGTGTCAGCGATATACTGTCAACATGTCGGGGATCGTGCCCATGATTATAATTCATCTACCTACTACCACTTGTTCATCTACTTATACTCTACAATATACCAAGACTTAAATAATAATTTTGAAATGAGGAGTCAGGGCCCCATCTGCATTATATAACTTCTGTCTCCTGTGACAACAGTACAATAAACAGTGTTTTATGACCTTTGTATAATGATTCCACCTCCCTCTCCAGGTCCAGGATCTCAGTGTGTGTTTGGCTCTCGAACACTGTTTCTCTGTTCCCTCGAAGACTGAAGTCACTGTTGAACCTTGAGATCTCTTGAAGGAAGATTTCCTCTTCTTCTTTAGACTCCCTCTTTACCTTGGACTGGCATGAAGAGCAGGATCATGGGAAAAGCTCACCAACAATAATGCAAATACAGATTGCAATGCCACAACGACTTCTGCTATTAGTGATATATATTTTAATGATCAAATTTTACCAAAATCTCTTTCTCTTAGTGAAGGCATTGCAGTATTTCACTTTCACTTTTGTGCAGTCTCTTACATTTCCATGGGTTTGTGTATTTTCCTACCCCACAGTGCTCGCTGTGAGTGGGCTGACAACCTGGGCTTGTGTGGGCATATAATGTGATCAATGAGTGTATCCCTCAAGAGTAAAACAGCATGCTTTTTGTTGAGGGTCTCTTACTACATTAGCATGTGTCTGGGATTAACTAAGAAGTATCCTTTAGCGAGAATGACAGCTCTTTAATCAAATCGTGTTTACACGTCAAAAAATGTGGTGGATAGTTTAACGTCTGTGAGTCAAATACATGAAGTCATTTAACAAACGTTTCAGCTTTGCAAATACACAGATTTGCTGCTTTTCTTTGTTTTTCTATCATTTTTTATGTAATTTATTTTGATTTTGGACAGTTGGTAAAAACAAAACAAACTTCTTTTAGACATTTTATAGACCAATTAATCAATTAATCCAAAAAAATTGAGTCTGACAGAAATATGGCACAGCTGAACTAAGAAAGTCTGCTGATATAAATGATATGCCTGATATGGTAATGTGTATCCATATTACACATAACCTTTACTATATGATAAGTCAATATTGATTCAGGCTTCAACCTACTAGACGTTCCCAGAGATGGGTCTTCTGGCAGAGCAGCTCCTCAATTTTCTTCAACATCTGGTCTTCACATTTCTTGATCAGGTCGTGCTGCAGCCTCATCACAGACGACTGCTGCGCCTGGAGCGTAAATAAATGAGTGGGAAGTTAAGACGCAACCTGAGAGACAGATGTATAGAGAGGGAGATGCATTACTGATACATGTCAGAGAGATGTTACTGATCCCAGCGGAGGAGAAATGAGATGTGATGAAAATTCTAGGGTGGGTAGGTAGCGCAATCATTATGTATTGTATACTGTACTGTACTGGGAAATGATGAACGAAAATGACTTGTTTCTTTGACTATTTTTAAAAACAGAGGTTTCAGCACATCTATATATACCATTCACTTTCTAACTGTTCTTATTTAGTTCCCGCTGTCTTTTATTCTGTGTAATTGCGCGGTACGTCCCAACAGGAGAGAAAATTGCCAGATTATATAGGAAGGTAGATTCATGGAGGATGCTTTTTAAAGTTGCCTCAGGCATGATTTTCAGTGCAGCTTTCAGTCTATTACTCGAGCTGTCAAGAAGGAAATGAGTTTATTGCTTCTCATACAGTAGTGGAGGAGCTCCTGTACGTTTCCAGCGAGCGGAATCAGGTTCCAAGTTTTCTAAACACTATAATTATCTTAAGACAGCCCTGACATACTGTGAAACATTACATCATGGGAGCTGTAAACACACTGAGCTGTAAACACACCCTGTGTATCCCTATGATGTAAACAGTTTCAATATTCCAATGTAAGGGGTCAGAAAAGGTAAGTCTTCAGAGGAATTTAATACTCAGACAGACACGGTGTTCTATTTCATTAGATCTACTCATTTGCTCTTTTGATCGGATGTCCACTTTTACAAGTACAGGAACAAGTTGGCAATATTTCTGAAAGGTCAACAAGCCTGCCTTTGACATCATATCTCACACATACTAAAAGGTTTCACTAATGCTATCCGGTGGAAATTAGCCATTGATTTTACATTGGCACTTGCAATCGATCCTATGCACTGTTGATGAAACGAATGGGAAACATTAAGTATTTTAAATCATAAAGCAGATCAGCTCGTCAATATGCCAATATGCACTTCTTTACCTCATGAGTGAATGCTACTAATTCTGTATGACTCAAGGTAAAGCAATTACATCTATGTATTTTACAACAAAATAAACTTTATGTATTTATAATACAGAAAAAAAATCATAAAACATCTCTCAGTTTTATAAGTCTATCCTATTGGATAAACAGTAAAATTATATATTTCCCTCCTGACACCATGGACAATATATTAACAAAATTATTCACAAGTTCTTCATGTACAATTTTACTGATCCTAGTGCAACAACCCGCAACACTTATCTAGATGTACAGTTCAAAGTCAAACAAAATGATATGCCATGATGCAAACGAGTACCATGCTGTGAAAATATCAGGTTGTTCTGAATCACCAGGAGCCTACCATCAAACGGGCAACAGTAACATTCATCACTTATTTACGCTGGCTTACTTTGAAAGGTACTGAAATTGTTGAAAATCGACTAGAACCCCCCCAACATCATGAATTTCCCCTAGGGGATAAATAAAGTATCTATCTATCTATAACAACAAGTCTGTTCATATCTGATAAGCCATTACACATTATAAAGGTGGCTCTAGTCACAAAATGTATTTATAATTCATTTATTAGCAACACATAAATGAGAACAACTAAACTGTAATGTAGCCTCACCTTTTCATCAAGTTCCTCACTGGCCTTTTCATACTTTTCTGTGGCGCTCTTGATTTTCTCATTGCATCTGATGATGGCTACTTTGACTGAAACAAAAATAACTGATTATCTAATAACCTGCCAAAGAAGACCGCAATACATTGACCAACTTGTCACAAATCACTGTTTATAATGTGACTTAAATATGAGCATAAGAAATACACCTTAAATTATATAAACTTAACTGTGGGTGGATAAAGAGGGGGACCCTCCCTCTTCATTGTTTATGTTGCTAACCCAGCTAAGTAGCATTTTAACTAGTCTTCCAATGTTAGCTACTAGCTAACGTTATAGTTTATTGTGTTAACTTAAATGTCAGTCATACCGTCTTTGAATTTCTGTGTCTGTTCAGTCAGTTGATGTTCAGTTAGAAGGATTTGTTGAAAGAGTGCGTTTAGACTCATTTGGAGTCAATAGCTGACAAACAAGTAATCTAGAATCGAAGTAACAGATACCACTGTAAGTTACATTAGCTAACAGATAGTTACCCACGGAACTAACCTAGTTACTCGGTAAGCTAGCTCCGCCTTTGACGCAGTTTGACGCATCATGCCCCACCCACGCGCTGACACGGTTGGTTTGTTTTTCCCCTCTACACACTGCAAACAAAACCAAAAGTGCTGATAAAAGTTATTTTCTGCGAAGTTACTCTTTTGAGAGAGTGGAAACGTTAACAGACGCAGTTTTGTAAAAAAAACAGTTTAAGGAAACTGCTGAAAGAATAATAGCTTGTCAGCGTAGCTAGCGTTAGCTAAAATCATGCTAGCAGTAGTTATGTTTGTTTAAGGCTCGCGTCGTTAGCTAGCGTGACTGTTGCCTGCACCGGATGCACAATGTGAACTGTGATTGATTTAACCCTACGTTATTAATTTAGCGTTTCAACATTTCTTGCAGTACGGTTAGCCAACTGTATTCACCAACAGAGCACTTTCATCAGTGTGTGTCCCCACTCATTGTGTTGAACTTTTATTAAGTGCTATATCGGCACACTCAGCCTTCTCAACAGTAATCCGCTGAGATACGCTGCGTACATTTGTCACACAATCCCCTGACTTTGAGCAATTTTGTCGTTTCACTACCGGAACAGAGAAAGCTTCTGATCCGGTGCCATGAAGCACATTACAGCGTGAAACGTTAAATGACCCGAGGACTACATCATTCTGACATTCATTTTCAAAATTAATATCACATATTGATTGTGGCTTTTCATAAATCACCAGTCTGAGTCTCCCCCCTGACTGCCAAGGTTCCCTTTGGAGACTTTAGAACAGCGAAGTCATCAAATTATAAGCAGACAATTAGCCCAGATAGTACTTTGAGCCTGTCGCTCATTTGTACCCATTTTCTGTCTCTTTTCCAGTCATGCTCTGTAAAAAGAAAAAAGAGCTGCGGATATTGGCCTGTGGCATTTCCATTTAGCAAAATTGAAAGTCATTTTGAAAAGTGACTGTATCTTGCAGGATTGTCACTGTACCTATAATAATCACGGCTTCCTTTTCAATAAAGGATTATTCACTGACGTTTACATAAGCTATTTCATCCCATCTCTGAATGCACCTGCTCTCTCTCTGTGTATGTATAAGGGTTGATTTACTGTGGGTGGGGGTGCCAGCATCCTTGATTGATTCAGTTCAGCGTTTAATGCAGAGAGCGGTTCATTGACATAGTCTGGTCCCATGTATTTAGCCAAGTGGATTAGCCCCTGAATAGACCATATGGGCAATCAATGAGCTATAGGAAGAGTTACAAGTCGCATGATGCATCATCCCTGTTATTATAATCATCCTCTATTTGTTTGTTTGATTCCCAGCCATTTCACAATATAGCCTATTGATCAAGCAAAACTTTTTTTTTTTTTTTTTTTGATCCTAACATCAAATATCTTCTGCGAGATATATAGCATTGTTTGAAATTATTATAAATGGTGTGAGATCAGCATTTGTGACCTTTACTTTAAAACCACCAACAGATGGCGACAGTCACACAGTGTCTGTCCACTTCCCCCTGTGTGAACTGAAGGCAGGATTTCCTCAGTGCAGCGCTGTCAGGCTGCTTTAGTTGACAAGCATCACATCAACATATTTTGTAGAGACCATATTTTTTATATTACAGCCCCTGAAGTGTGTCAGTATCACACGCCCTAACAACATAGTCTCTTCACAGTTGGCAGCTACTGTTGAATAACATTTTTTTATTTCTTCTTCTAATTTTCAAATAGGATTAACATTAAAGCAAACTGGGAGGAGCCACACACGCATGCTTGAAATACCATGAATAGGCAGTGAGTTGTGTGCAGCTGAAATATGTCCATTCATTTTGTCACTCAAGTTGAGAAGGGGATTCAGACCTAAGAAATTGCCATATAAGCTAATCCACAGGTTGCTATATTAATCATGCCGTAAAAATGCACTTGAGTCACGCTCTTTGCCCTGTCTCCCTGTCAGCGCACTAATACTGAAATGTAAAACCAATCCCCTCTCTTCTAGAGTTGATGGTGCTGCTTCATAACATATTAAATGCAACCACATGCCCTCTGTTGTTATATAGACCGACCTATATGTGTGTTAATGAACTGGAAAAGGGACTATGTTCTTGTTTTCTTTTCTGTTTTTTTACTTTTGCGATCTGAGCTGGAAAGTTTACTAAAAGTTTATTATTAAAAAAAAAATCTATAATAAACCAAAAAAGATTTGTAGTTGGTGTGCAACTCGTCAGTGACGGTTACCTTATCATGGTGCTATTCTGGGACTTACGTCCCCGGTGCTCATTAGTGAGTTAAGTGAACTTAAAGCTAATTATTTGCTTTCTGTTTTGTCATTGTGATATTGCCATAAAAGAAAGCAGTGGGTTTGCTGAGATAAGAAGGCCTATCTTTGTACATTTATGATAACATTACTGTACTTTCAATGCGAGAGGGAAGCTGGCACTCTCCTCCTGCTGAATGCGCTATAGACAGCGGTGTGGCTCCAGTTGGCTGTGTGCGCTCAGACGCACAGACGCAAACATCCCACTGGCTGGAGTTGGAGGACACTCGCCCGTTTTCGCCTCCACCGCTGCTCTGATCCCTTGTCTTTGTCTCCCCGGCGGTGAGAAGACCACCCGCACGGGAAGGAAAGAAAGAGAGAAAGGAGCGCTTCCTCTTCTTTTTTTTTTTTTAAATCTAGAGATTATTAAGAGTCAGAGAAACTGCAGAATCGGGACTGGACACTTTTGGAGGGGAAATAATTTCTCGCATGAGGCGAGCTGGATCTGTTCTGTACAGCGGAGCGCACACTGCTACGTCTTTTCAATGGATTTCAAAACAGTGGAAGTACCCTGGGAATTAAACTACTGTTAAGTTGCTTTTAGGTCGCAGATTTCCTTCTAACAACGGTTTATGTTTCACATTGAGAGGAAGACGATGATCCTCGCAGTATTGTATGTCCTTCTGCCTCTTTTAGGTAAGTTTTACTTGATTTATTCCCGCCGACAGCTCTCCGTTTGATACTCATTTATCACATAGGTGAATATAATATTTGTGTTAAGCTTTTTTTTGTGAGCTGCAATAATAAGGGCGAGTCCGGCAGAGAGGCAGCGGCTGCTCACGGGGGTTATACGGGTAACGTGCGGAGGCTACTGTACACACTATAATCCAAACTGCTCCAAAACGAAAAAGTCCGTCAGGAGCTGTCGGTGCTTCATCTAACAATACTGCGCATGAAAGCAAGTTGACAATCAGCCGTGCGTTTTCATCGGCATGATGGAACTCGTGTCGCACGAAAATAAAAGCTCATCTGTGTAATATTTTAATCCCTGAAAGCGTCCTGCAAACTGCTTCGGGTTTTGAATATTTGGGCACAGTCAACAAGAGAGAAAAGGAACCGATAAAGAGCCATTATTTAAATTTTTTTTTTTTTTTTTTGTAATTTAATTATAATATAATAAATGCCACTTGTGTTTCCAGATGTGTTGTCTTACGCCGAGGAGAACCTGCGTGCTGGGGCCACCCGGCTGGACTGTGTGAGAGCCAATGAGCAGTGCCTGAAGGAGCAGGGGTGCAGCACCAAGTACCGCACGATGAGGCAGTGCGCGACCGGCGGCAAGGAGAGCAACTCCAGCATGGTGGCCGGCCTGGAGGCCAAGGACGAGTGCAGGAGCGCCATGGACGCGCTCAAGCAGAGCCCGCTGTACAACTGCCGGTGTAAAAGGGGCATGAAGAAAGAGAAGAACTGCCTGCGCATTTACTGGGGGATCTATCAGGCGTTGCAAGGTTAGTTAAGGTGATTTTTTTTGTTTTTGGTGGAACTTTCTCCTGTGGAGAACCAACCCAAAGACCCATCAGCCTTTCAGCAGATCCTGGTAATGTGTCTACCTCTGATGAGAGGAGACTTGTTTCCAGGCTTTTCATGGTTTTGTTTAAAGGTCTATCAGAGGATGGATCAATAACTCAGAATACTTTTTTTTTTCCCCTGGGTGTACCCCACAAAGTCCCTCAGGGTCTTTGTTTGGGTATGAGTGCTACATTTAGAGAACACTAAGCAGCTATATTTAAAGTGAAATGGACATTCCCCCATTGGTTTTCACATCTGTTCTGGAAAGGGGTGAGATGATTAGTTGCACCAGCTCCTCCCACTACTGTATGGAGGGGGCAGCATCAGTCCTCACCCGCCCTCCTTCCCCCTCCAGCTCTGTGACCCTCCCTACCCCTGTTACCACAAACACAAAAACTGAAAAAGTAGCACACAGCTCTGCATGTATTAACAGTCCAACACGATCACGCACAGTCACTCAACTTTATTTCAAATTTGGCCCCTGACTCGGTTCTCAGCCGAGGTCCTGCAGAGCGGAGGCACATTTTGACCTCCTAAATCACTTCCCTTGAAGGTAATGGAGCGTGAAGCTCCTCGGCGCTGGCAGTGCCATCTTAAAGTGTTGATCGTTTGCGGGGGGGGGGGCTTCTAGTCCCTAAACTGCATCCAGCCCCATCGCCAGCGAGTTGACTTCCAGTTGTGCAACACAGCTGACCAACCTGCCTAATCAAGCGTGTGGCTGTGTGCCAGCGTGGATATCGACTGACCCAAATAACCCATGTCACATGCAGTCCAATGTGAGGGGTGAAAGAGGATAAACAAAACAGGAGGGGGTTAAAAATCTATCTATCTAGCTATCTATCTAAACGTGGTTATCTTCCTCACAGGTAACGATTTCTTGGAAGATTCTCCATATGAACCCGTGAACAGCCGTCTATCTGACATTTTCCGCCTGGCTCCCATCATAGGTAAGGATAAAAAATGTTTTAAAAAATCTGCTTTGTGGAGACTTTCACTCCATCCCTTAGTATTTATTTTTTTCACTGTTTCATTGGTCACCTGTCTCAGTTGAGATACGGTTAATCTCGAAGCTGTGCATGCTCTCACCGAAGGTTATCTGTGTGTCGAGTATTTATCCTCCCTCATCCTCTCCGCTATCTGTCTTTCTCTCCCCTCGTTCTTGTCCCAGCAACATTGCATGCTGGCTGGAAGTGACCTTGCACGGGGAGCTATAGTTCTGACTCTCGTCAAGCAGTAGCTAAATGCTCTGGAGGGCTCTGTTTTGCTGGTGCATTTCGCTGCGGTTTTGAACAGCTTTCCTCTCGTGGCTTTTTCGAATCCACTTGTTGAAAAGAGTGAGTGAGAAGCTCTGTGAGCAACGTGGGAGAGAGCATGACAGGCATTTTTCTGCTCAGATCTGTGTGTGTGTGTGTGTGTGTGTGTGTATGTGTATGTGTCTGTGGGAGCGATGCTGACTCAAGCCTCTAGATGGCGATGTTATTCCCTTCTTCCACATGCACTCGGGTGCTCTGTGATCCCATGGTTGAGACTGTTGAGGGTGTTTGAGAGCCTGACGTATGAATGTGGCGCAGTCATGTAGCTGCTTACATTTTCATTATTACACCGCAGGTGATGATGAACACCGTGTCAAATCAAACAGACGCACACTGCCTCCACATCTTCAAATAACAAGGCTGATATTTTGACCCCTTTTTGATAGAGAGGAGCCTTTTGTTTCTGTTGCCTCTGTCATTTTAATCTCACAATAGGCTGGTTCGCCCTAAACCAGCGCTTCCACAGTAGGGAGGGATCATAATGTGGGTGGTGAGATGCAGATAAACAAAATCTTTGACTGGGTACTGACTTCATGACCGATTTGAGTCTAAAGAAAAAGCTTTTTTTGTATCCCCCCCCCCCCCCCCCCCTTGTTACTCTTTAGAAAAAGAGGAGGACTTTCAAAAGAAAAAAATCCCACTGTGTCACACTGTACTACACTATATGTCTCTGGCCCTTAATTTGCCGTCCAGTCTCAGCAAGGACAAGACACCCACAGGCCCACAGGAGTGGGAACAGACAGATTTATAGTGTCGTTCTTATAGTGAAGACAGACACTCCTTACTTGATGTTCAAATGCCTCCTTATGTTGATTGATGGCTTCGTATGTACGTAGATCTCTCTTTACAAGCAGCAGAGATCAAACATCAAACCAGACTGAGCCTATCATTAAAGTACAGTTAGGGAGAGAGGGGTTTGCAACTATTGATTATTTTCACTTTTAATTAATCTGTAGGGTTTTTTTGTTATGTTTTCACTAATTTGTGATTATATGTGATAAACAATTAATCAAGCAAAATAAAAAAACAAGTGCATCCCACTGTCTCAGAGCCCGAGGTGAAGTGAAACTGGTCTGGTTTGACCAACAGTCCAAAACCCAAATATATTTCATTTATTTAAAAAACTTGCGTTTGAGAAATTGGAATCAGCGAGCAGTTGTTGTTTTTGTCTTCTTAATGACTCAAATGACTGATCAAGTTTTAGATTTGTAGATTATTTTCCATGGATTGATTAAGTGGTTCGCAACCCATTTGTCTTGTTGACCTCCTTTTAAAAACGAAGCAATGGACAGTGCTGTGTGTACTTTATGTTTTGAAAATGTTGGAGAGCGTTGAGCGCCATTTTGAGACGAAGCATGAGGAAACTTTCAAACATCAGGTAGACAACGCAGAATCGATCAAATGTGCCGCGCCCGGTTATAGCCGACGCTCTCAGAGACTAAAGCAAGCTATTGCATTATCTCGGATAGAGATATTTACTGGTGACAAATATATTAACGAGGCTTTTCTCCGTAGCTCAGATGTTCTGTTTGAAGGTTTACCAATAGATATTCCAATGTCAGCTAGAAGTGTTGAGCGACGCCTCAAAGAAATGGCATAAAATAACAGCAGCGGGGTTAAAAGATGCTGTGGTACATTTGGCAGTGACGGCGAGATACTGTGATTCAATGGTGTCCCCGCCATGCTCGGGGGAAACGGGGGGGCAGCTGTGAGATCAGTTGAGGTTGAAAAAGTTGCTCACCCCATTATGAAACTGCACTGCATAATACACAGAGGAAGCCTCTGTGCAAAATGTCAAATTCAGGTCTAAATGAAGTTACGGCTGCAGTGATGAAGGTTATTGACCTCATAGTTAAGCGATCTGCTCTGACACGCCAACAGTTCCGGCCCCTGCTCGAGGAAGTGGACTGCGCATACAAAACGTATCCCGCTCCACTCAGCGGTCAGGTGGGTAAGCTGTGGAAAAAGTTCAGGCGCAGTTTGACGGCTGCTTCGATGCCATCAGACTTGTGGGTTGTGAAACTCTCACGGATATTATAGCACTCCTCATCAAGCTCAATTTCCAACTGCAAGGTGCAAGTCAAACTGTTTTGGACACGTCGGACACATGGACGGGTTTTGTTGGCAAGCGATGTTGCTGCCTCCACTTTTCTGCCTCTTCAGACACGTAAGGGAGCTGTCTTTGCAGTATACAAATACATGAGCGAGCTTGAGTCGAAGTTTACGACACGATTCAGGAAACTTTCAGAAGTATGGGCCCGTGTTGTTACATCTGATAGACCGGTTGGATACGCGGGACATGGATGTGCAGCGGATTGAGCTCAGTGAGTTCAACATTGTGGGTGACTTAAGTTTACTGAGCTGCAGAAACAACTAGAAACCCCTGTCAGTGTAAGATCAAGGAAACCTGCATCCTCACCTGCTGGATGTCTGTGCTGGAGAAGTTCAGCTGTCTCCGGATCATCGCACTGGCCTTTACTGACAGTCTTTGGACCAACGTAATAATGCATGTGACAGAGCAGGGGGATCATGCAGAAAGGGATTGAACTAGAAGGAGAATAGCGTCTGATCATTAGAGGAGAATCATACAGCAGGGGATGAAGGGGTGAGAGGAGAAGGCTGCAGGGGTGAGGGTTAATCATTGAATAGCAGGGTAAGGCGAAGAGGATGGGGGGGGGGGTTAAAAAACAGAAAGCATGAGATCACTCTACCTCTTCTGCCATTTCTGTGAAAATGAAAGGCCAAGGTGACGGGAGAAGGATCGAGGCAGAAATGATTAGAGGTTACAGCGTGTTCACTCTGACAGCTTTGTATGTTTCAGTTCTAAGGTTCAGCTCAATCGACCGAGCAGAGGACTAGAAATGTACACAACAACAAAAAAAGCCACAATAACAAACATCATTTAAAAAAAGGGGGAGCAATATGAGAAGCACTCTCTAGGGATTCTCATTTTAACTTATGCAAATTTAGGTCTTGTTTCACACAGAACTTTATATTTGAGGTAGGAGTGATATTAGAGCACAGTGCAATTCCCGATTTGATTGTTTTTCTCATTGTCTTTCTATAGGTCTCTGAACATTTTCTCTTTTATGTCTCCTATATCATCATGTTTCTGGTCTCATACATACCTTCAAACTTTTATTGTAGTTCTAGTAGATGCAAATTACTAGATGATATATTGATGTTGTAATGGCCCTTGTGATTCAAGTCAGCAGTCTGTGGTCAGCCCCTTATTTCAGGAGTCTCTCTGAACGTCTATCATGTCCGTCTGGGTAAGGCAGGACGACTGGGTGGTCCAGGCTACAGGAACAATAGGCAAACACAGTGATGCTGTAATTCCGTAGTCGACCCTATGTCTCTGACCGAAGACACTAATCCGCAGTGACACCCGTACATGCAGCGCACAGATGCACAGACACACAAACGCACACGCCGCTGTGCCCTGAACACCTGTTCCAGATGACTCGTCCATAGGCGTCAGTCCGGTTTCATTAGAGAGACGTGTCGGGTGCAGCTGAAGCAGATATATGCATTATTATCTGATTTACAGAAAATCATTAAATCGAACTTAACAGGGGTTAAGATTTAAACAAACAAAAGTCCATCAGTGTAAAGATTTAAAGGTTCTTAGTGCAAGTGTGAAGCAGAAAACAGATGATCCTGTTTACCACCTCCTGTCATCATCTTCATCACTAATCATTAGTCACAGTAAATCTCTGGAAGTGGCTATTTAAGTTTTTTTTTTTTTTAAATAAATAATAAAATACATTGGATATAAAATATATAAAGCACTGGAAAAAACTGAAATATAACATTCTAGCTCATAGACGTGCACGCAACACACAGCAGTTCCAGTGGGTTAATTTAGGCTTTACCTGGGGCAGAATGCCTCTACCTCTGGGGCTGAGTCCAGTGAGTCACATTAAAGTGTGAGCATCTCACTTCTCTGCACCAGGAAAGAAAAAAAAATAAAAAGAGCAGCTGCAGCAGAGGAGCAGTCTGCGATGGTGAACTCCTCAGCGGTGCTTTTAGAGACTTTAAATTAAAGGCACGACTTTGGCGAAATGACTGTATATACTAACAACAAAGGCTGGCTGCACGATCATTTAAATGTGTTATTTTGATTATTTGAAGCCTTAGAAAGATCCATGTTGGTGTTTGAGGCCTATATTTGTGGACATGATGATGAATCTTGAGATTGCTGTAGGTTTTTCAATGGACTTCAAACACAGCACAGTCTGCATGCCATCTCGTCTGTGTTCGTAGTCCATGGTGTCTGTCCTGATCAGTGTATCTTTGCTGTTTGGAAGTCACTGGGAGTGTTGTAAGACCAGCAACACTGCCACTTCCCCTGTAGGCTGACATGATGATTCAGTAGATGACACATAGAGAGACCACTCTCCATGCACACACCACACACACACACACACACACACACACACACACACAACAACTAATGGAAACTTTGTGTTTTTCCAGTTAGGTCATATTTTCACAGTTGAGTGTTATAATTTGTTTCCATAATACAAACAATATAAAAGCTGCGATCTCCATATTCTCATTCCTGTGATTACAGCTTTAAATCTGGAACCTGTGAATGTGAGCTGCACACAGGAAATATTTAACACGCATTT